TTTCTCCAGCTCTGTCTGGGACCCTCCATTGTGGTCCCTGTCAGAGCAGTCGGTGGTAGTAGCCAGACACCATGTAGCTGTGCTAGACTCAGTCTGGTGGAGGCTGTGGTAGTTGTGTTCCGTTAGTCCTTTGGACTAATCTTTCCCTTGTGTCTCTAGTTTTCTTCATTCTCCCTTGATCCAGGTAGGGTGAGACCAGTGGAGTATCTTAGATGGCCTCTTACAAGCTTTTAAAACCCCAGACGCTACTCACCAAAGTTGGCCGTAGAACATTTTCTTTATAAACTATATCATGTCAATTGAGCTAGATGTCCCCTGAGACCGTGGTCCCAAGACCTCAGCCCAGTAATTTGGTCCCTCGGGGAGTTTAGATGTATCCATGAAGCTTCGGTGATCTTGCCTTTGTCATGTTGTGCTGACTTCCCCAGTCCTGTGTACTGTCTTACCCTTTACCAAAGTTACCGCTTTTCTGTTGTCTGGTTACTGTTTTCCCCTCCTCACCCATCGCCTCTCTCATAACCATCAAAGATTGTTTCTTTCTGTGTGTAAACCGTTTCATGAATTTTTATAATAGTGGTCTCATACAGTATTTGTCCTTTTGTGGTTGACTTATTTCACTCATCATAATGCCCTCCAGATTCATCCATGTCATGAGATGTTTCGCAGATTCATCATTGTTCTTTATTGTTGCATAGTATTCATTGTGTGTATGTACCATAGTTTGTTTATCCATTCAGCTGTTGATGGGCACTTAGGTTGTTGCATCTTTTTGCTGTTGTGAATAATGCTGCAATGAACATGGGTGTTAGGCTGTAAATCTTTATGGGAGCAGATTGCCAGGTCTTTTCTCCCGCAAAGCTGCTGAGTGGGTTCAAATTGCTGACCTTTTGGTTAGCATCCAAGCACTTAGCCATTGTGCTACCAGGACTCTGAATGCTCCCCTAGCCTCGCTTATTCCAACATTTCTAACATTCGTATGATTACATATAAATGGCTGCTGCATTCATAGGTCTGATGGTCTGCTTGGGGCTATGAGATTACATGTGACTTAGATACAGCTTTTTGCACAAATTTGCTCGCACTGTCCTTTTCCTTGTGAGCTCAGCCTGTCCCCAGACTTTTGCATTTGCCCCCACCTGATAAGTTCTGTTGTTGTTGTTGTTTTTTTGGGGGGGGGGGTGCATTAGGTGGAAGTTTACAGAGTAAGTTAGCTTCCTAGTCAATAATTTGTACATGAAGTATTTCATGGCCTTGGTTTCATTCCCCAAAATGTGTCAGCACTCTCCCCATTTCCGTCCTGGTTTCCCATTTCCTTTTGTCCTGATTTTCTGCCCTTTCCTGCCTTCTCATCTTTGCTTTTGGGCAAATATTGCCCTTGTGATCTAGCATAATCAATTGTTCTAAGGAATACGTTCCTCTTGGGTGTTACTATTTTATGGGTTTGTCTGTTGTTTGGCTGGAAGATGGTCTCCGGGAATGGCTTCAGTTCCAGGTCAGAAGGGTGTCTTAGGGTCATAGTCTTGGGGGTTCCTCCAGTCTCTGTCAGACCAGTCAGTTTAGTCTTTTTAGTGAATTTGATTTTTTGTTCTACAGTTTTCCCCTGCTCTGTCTGGGACCCTCTGTTGTGATCCCAGTCAGAGCGGTTGGTAGTGGTAGCCTGGCACCATCTAATTCTTCTGCTCTCGGGGTCATGTAGGCTGTGATTCCTGTGGTACATTAGTCCCTTGGACTAATTGATCCCTTGAATCTTTGGTTTTCTTCACTCTACTTTGCTACGGACAGGAAGAGACCAACAGTTGTATCTCAGATGGCCGCTGACAAGCTTTTAAGACCCTAGACGCTACTCACCAAAGTAGTGTGCAGAATATTATCTTTATGAGCTGTGTTGTACCAGTTGACATAGATGTCCCCCGAGTCTATGGTCCTTTGCCTTTAGCCTAGAAACTTCATCCCGCAAGGTGTTTGGTTATGTCTAAGTTACCCGATGGGTTCTAGTGGTATGTGTGGACATTCTGTTGCTGATTAATTGCTAGGACTGAAAGTATTTCTACCTCTGCACAAATCATTTTTAGAAAATGTTTTTCCAGAGAGAGGTACCCACAGATACCTTGTTGGAATTAGGACAGTTTCTGGGAAGAAATTAATCAGAATAGAATGAATGTGAAAGCCCCTAGCACAGTGCTTGGTTCCGAGTTTGCACTCCAATTAATGAGGGATAAGTATGAGCGTCTCTCTGGGTAGAGCTCAGACTGTGGGAAGCACAAACACGTGAATTCCTCTGGGAGTAGTTCTAAGGGAGTGAAACATTATGCCTGATTTTGTGCTTGTAGAGTTCAAAAAGGAGCCCTGGTGGTGCAGTGGTTAAGCGCTCAGCTGCTAACCAGAAGGTCAATGGTCAGAACCCACCAGCTACTCCACAGGAGAAAAGACCTGGTGATCTGCTCCTGTAGAGTACAGCCTTGGAAACCCCATGGGGTGGTTTTACTCTGCCCTATAGGGTTGCTATGAGTTGGAATCAACTAGATGGCAATGGGTAATAGAGTTAAAAAATGCGAAGGGTACTCAGAGTAAATGAGTGACCCATGAGGGTTAGATAAGATAGGCTTCCCAGAGAAGATGCTTGTTGAAGTCATCCTTGAAGGAAATACTGCTCTGGATTCCCAGATAAGAATTGGGAAATCAGGTTTGTTAACCTTGACAGTGTGGTTCAGCTGGAAGGAAGAAACTGGGAGGCCCCAAGGGCAGAGGTTGAATGCCTGTGGGGTGGCCACTAATGGAGGCCTTGAAACATCTAGGGTGGAGCTGGGGTTTGTGGCAGAGGCTATGGGAAGTGGTAAACCTGTGAGCGCCTTGAGGGTAGAGACGAGTTGCAGTTGTTAGCTTCCTTCAGGCAGGCCCCTGACTTGCTGCAGCCCCATGCACAACCGAATGAAACTGCTTGATCCTGTGCCAAACCTGCAGCCAGTCAACATTCCGTATGTGCCCTCTGAAAGGAAGGTAGCTGGGTATAGGATGAAATGGAACAGGAAAAAATCTTAAAGCTAGACATTTCTAGGAGTCAAGTGAGAAGTGAGGTAATCTAACCATTAGATGATCAGTGTAAAATAGTAATCACAAACCCTATGTGCCTGATCCTGTTCTAAGCGATTTATCTATGTTAATCAATGTAATCATCATGATAGCTTTGTGAGGGACAGAGTGAAATAACTTAACTTGCCCAAGGACACTCAGAAGTAGAAAATGGAAGGGAGGGAGTGAAGGAAAAAATGTTTATAACCTACAGTTGTCAGAAAAAAACAAAAACGAAACTAAAAACCTTCTTATATGGCTTATGACTTTTCATAGACTTGTGACCTCTTCTCCCACTTCTTATCTCTGTTTGCTCACATCCTCCACATTCACTGACTGCTTTGGCATGCCTGCAGTCACTGGGGTTAACATCAGGGTCCCTAAGTGTGACCCATCTACAGTGATAGCTGGAAAGTCTCTTGCCTTCTTGACACCTTTTTCCTTCCCCTCAACGTGTCCACCCACTCCTGTGAGCACCCTTGGAAATTTTCACTTCTGAGATCTGAACACTCAAACATCCCGCTGTCCAGCCACAGCCTGTTGTCTTGCCACTCACTCCATATCATCACACTTTTTCTTCAACTCCATTAAAGCATCCAGTCTCTGAATTCCTCCATTTTCCCTGTCTTTCAGCTCCCTGTGGTTTTGTGACCTTGTCTGTAAAAACCTGGATCATCTGAAATCCTCTGTCACCAGCATCCTAGATTCCCTTGCCCATTTGTCCTCCTGTGGCAGCTGCCCAGCAGAGCTACCACCCAGCAATGCCACCCTCTCTTTCTTTCACCAAGGTACCTGGAACTACTGGGGTGACAACCTGCAGGCAGTGGCACAAGTGCTTGACCTCTCACCTCAGCTGGGCCCTCATGTGACCTGTGGACCTTCTCTCCTAGGCACTGCTCCCAAACTTCACCTTCTCTCTTCTTCTCTCAGAGAGTCTGCTGTGTTTCCCCTGTGCTCTTCCCCCATCTCACCCCAGACCTTGCTCCTTCTCTCTCTTGTGCTTCACCCTGTCTCTGTCCACACGCTGGTTCAGGTATCCAGCTTCTACCTAACTCCCTCCTCCCCTTCCTGACTTGAAGTCGGTCTCCTCCCTTGATAGAGGTGTCATCTTCTCATCTGGATTTTTGGAAAGAACTATGTTCTCTACTTCTCCTTCCTTCTTATTTCCACCCAGCTGAGCTCTTAACCACTGTGCCACCAGGGCTCCCCCCACTTTTTTAGTTTTTGCCTCCCTGGCTCTCTCTGCTAGCCTTCACCTGTTTCTTCTTGAGCCTCTCACCTTCTTCAGCCCCTTGGGGCCCACCCGCTAAGAGTTTTCCTTGCATCTCTCTGGCTTTCCAGCCTCAGTTTCCATCAAGCTTTCCCCCTCTTCTGTTTGTCCTTCGAATGTAGTATTGAAATGCAGTAACCAGAATGTAGTGTTCCGATCTCAGCTGCCAGTTCTTCTCACGCTCTCTTAGTCTCCTAGGGCTGCTATGACAAAATACCACAAAATGAGTGGCTTTAAAGAACAAACATTTATCTTCTCACAGTTGGAGATGCTAAAAGTCCAAATCAGAGCCTCGTCTGTGTCAACGCCATCTGTAGTCTTCTCCTGGCTTCTGGCGACTGCCAGCAATCCTTGGCGTTCCTTTGCTCTTATAGATGCACCTGTCTCCATTGTCATATGGCGTCTCCCCCTCTGTGTCTGACTGTCTTCTGTACTCCCCTTTGTAAGACACCACTCAGAGGGAGTTAGGGTTAGGATCTACGCTCCTCCTGTATGACCTCATTAACAAAATAAAAGAAAAACCCTATTTCCAAACAGGGTCACATTCACAGGTACAGTGGCTAGTGTTTCTCTATGCTACATGTTACCTGTGCTTAATTTTATCCTTTTGTTGGTTCAACTCCCATATTTATCCTGATGACTGCCAAATTTACATCTCCAGCTAAAGCCTTTAAGCTGCGAACTAGGCATGTCACACTTCAGATGTTTACAACTGAACTCTGGTAAGTCTTCATCCCTAAACTTGCTGTTTCTCCTGTGTTTACCATCTTAGCCTTCTCACTGGTTTCAGCCCCCTCGGTCCATCCTCTACAAAGCTACTAGAGAGCTTCCCAAACGCAAACCTGACCAGGTCACTGGCCTGACTGCCTCCCTGTCACCTCTGGGTTAAGACCCATGCTCCTGAATCTGGCACACAAGGTCTTCCATCATCTGTCCCCTGCCTACATCTGCTCCTGTTAATTGCTTCTCCCTGCCTTGTACTTGGTGCTCTAGCAACATTGTCTACTTGTAGTTCCCAGGTATCAGCTGAGCAGTCCCTTACCTTCTTTGTGTCCCTTAGACTTGGTGTTGCTGCTTCTGCTCTCCCTATGTTCCTGATTATCTCTTTTTGTTTTGCTTTGCTTTTCTGTTTTTTTAAATTAATATTTTATTTTTGGTGAAAATATACATAGCCAATCCCATTCCCATTCGACAGTTTCTAGACATAAGAAACAGCGACATTGGTTACATTCTTTACATTGTGTCTACATTTTTGTTATTGCTGTTCTTGTTGTTTCACTCTCATTAAGGTAAATGCGGTTCCCCTCAACCTTCTCATCTATGCCTAAAATAGCTGTTGTCCTTGGGAATGCAAAATGGTACAACCATTTTTGGAAAACAATATGGCACTTCTGTAAAAAGCTAGAAACAGAAATACCACATGATCCAACTATCCCAGTCCCTAGGAATACATCCTAGAGAAATAAGAGCCGTCACAGAAATAGATATATGCATACCCATGTTCATTGCAGCATTTTTCACAATAGCAAAAAGATGCAAACAACCTAGGTTTCCATCAACAGATGAATGGATAAACGAACTATGGTACATACACACAATGGACTACTATGCAACAATAAAGAACAATGATGAATCTGTGAAATATGTCACAACATGGATGAATCTGGAGGACATTATGCTGAGTGAAATAAGTCAATCATGAAAGGACAAAGATTATACGAGACCACTATTATAAAAATTTTCATGAAAAGGTTTACACACAGAAAGAAACTATCTTTGATGGTTATGATGAGGGTGGGGAGGGAAAAACACTAAATAGACAATAGGTAAGTGATAATTTTGGTGAAGGGTAAGACAGTACAAAATACTGGGGAAACCAGCACAACTTGACCAACGCAAGGACATGGAAGCTTCATAGACACATCCAAAATCCCTGAGGGAACAAATTACTGGGCTGAGGACCATGGTCTCTGGGAACATCTAGCTCAATTGGCATAACATAGTTTATAAAGAAAATGTTCTACGTCCTACTTTGGTGAGTAGTGTCTGCGGTCTTAAAAGTGCCTAAGCGGCCATCTAAGATATTCCACTGGTCCCACCCTACCTGGAGCAAGGGAGAATGAAGAAAACCAAAGACCCAAGGGAAAGACTAGTCCGTATAGCTAATGGAACACAACTACCACAGCCTCCACCAGACTGAGTCCAGCACAACTAGATGGTGCCCGGCTACCAACACTGACCGCTCTGACAGGGATCACAACAGAGGGTCCCAGACAGAGCTGGAGAAAAATGTAAAACAAAATTCTAACTCACAAAAAAAGACCAGACTTACTGGTCTGACAGAGACTGGAGAAACCGAGAGTATGGCCCCAGACACCCTTTTAACTCAGTACTGAAGTCACTCCTGAGGTTCACCCTTCAGCGGAAGATTAGACAGGCCCATAAAACAAAACAAGACTAAATGGGCACACCAGCCCAGGGGCGAGGACAAGGAGGCAGGAGGGGACAGGAAAGCTCTTAATAGGGAACCCAAGGTTGAGAAGGGGAGAGTGTTGACATTCGTGGGGTTGGCAACCGGTGTCACAAAACAGTATGTGTATTAATTGTTTAATGAGAAACTAATTTGCCCTGTAAAGCTTCATCTAAAGCACAGTAAAAAATAAAATAAATAAAATAGCTATTGTCCATTTGGTCTTATACAGGTAATTTTTTAAAGAGAACTCAGTACTCAAAGGTGACAAGCTTTAGTTTTTGAACTAAACTGTTACTTAGTTAAAGATGACTTCAGACTACTGTTTATTTTTATCACTCAGCTTTGCCCTCACTTCCTTTGAGGTATTCTTCCTCTGTGTATATGTGTATAACTAGCTTTGCTGTTACCACATTGATTATGTATGCTCTGCCTAACTCTTTTCTGTCCTCAGCATTGAGCACCATAATGTCGGTGGGATGGGTGGTGAGTGGATGGATCAAGGAGTGAACAGTGCAGCCGCTGACAGGCGTCTCAGTCATTTGGGATGGAAGTAAAAATATCTAATGGTTATTCTAGTCTGCCTAGCTTATGCTTAGTGTTAGGAGGGGAGAGTAGAATTTTATAAATAGTCTATGTAACAGTTTTGATAGAGAGGTATGAAGTTTTGGGTCTTTTAAATACTTTATTTAGGGAGAGAAATGGTGAGAGCTAAAAGCATTGACATTTGATGCCATTTTGACCTTTTCCCAAGGTTTCTGACCTCATTTAATACTTGGCTGTCCTTCAAAATCACCCACTTTTTGTCTGTTTCAGTAAAGCGCTATATCCGAAAAGGTGTTCCACTTGAGCACCGGGCACGTGTCTGGATGGGGGTGAGCGGAGCTCAGGCCCAGATGGAACAGAATCCTGGCTACTACCACAGACTCCTCAAGGAAGAGAGAAATGACAGCCTGGAGGAAGCCATCCGGACAGGTGATAACTGTTCCTGGTCCCTCTGATGAGTGCAGTGTACCTAGAGGGAAGCACGTCAGGGAAAGCATCCCAAGGTGATAACTGTTCCTCATCCCTCTGGTGAATGCAGTGTAAGAAGGAGGCAGGTCAGGGAAGGCATCGCAAGATGATAACTGTTCCTGGTCCCTCTGGTGAGTACAGTGTACCTGGAAGGAAACAGGTCAGGGAAAGCATCCCAAGGTGATAACTTCCTCGTCCCTCTGGTGAGTGCAGTGTACCTGGAAGGAAACAGGTCAGGGAAAGCATCCCAAGGTGATAACTTCCTCGTCCCTCTGGTGAGTGCAGTGTACCTGGAAGGAAACAGGTCAGGGAAAGCATCCCAAGGTGATAACTTCCTCGTCCCTCTGGTGAGTGCAGTGTACCTAGAGGGAAGCAGGTCAGGCAGAGCATCCCAAGAAAGGAATTACATTTTCACCCAGTTTTTACCGCTGTGATGTTGGTGAGGAAAGTTACTTTGTTAAAGATGTATCAACTGATTTCGATTTGGAATTATATTTTCTCAAAGGAAAATAAAACTTGAGTGTTCATGAGGGGAGAGTATTATTTTCAATTCATTCAGCAAGTATTTGAGCACCTAGCTAGCTAACAAGGTAAATGGTGTTAAAAAGACCAGATTTCTTCCGTGGAGAAATGCTTAGGAAAGTGAGAAGGCAGTCAAGTGAGCAAAATCATCATAACCAGTTGCTGTTGTTTCAACTCTGACTCGTGGTGATCCCACCTGTGTCAGAGTAGAACTGTGTTCTGTAGGGTTTTCAATGGCTGATTTTTCGGAAGTAGATCACCAGGCCTTTCTTCCAGCATGCCTCTGGATGGACTTGAACCTCCGACCTTTTTGTTAGCAGCTGAGCTTGTTAACCATTTGCATTACCCAGGGACTCCATAAGTAATAATAATACAGTAGGATAATTACCATAAGGGATTTGTACCTATTATTAGTATATGTAGATTTGCATATATATTTACATATGTAACATGAAACAATGCACAGAGTTTTCTTTTTTTGGAATAAATTTTATGGGCGTCAAACTATAATACTTTCCTAGGGATACTGATATTTTTGGGGTCTAATGTCTTTATCCTACAATATTCTCAGCAGTCACATAAGCATAGGGTTGCCGTCTCTTAAAAATACGAAGTGTTCCAAAAAAAAAATTAAGCTAAATTAAATAATTAGATTTTTAGGAACTACATTTGACTCTGATTGTAACAGTTTTTGAGAAATACAAATTTAAATTAAAAATACTTAATTAAAAAACTTCAAGTGCTGAGGGGTTGGAATGACTTATGACAGTGAGGAAGTGGGTGTCCCCAGTGAGGGGTGGCCATCCTTCAGCCCTTGCTGGTAGGCTTGGCTCCTGCCCTGTTGGGGGTCTCATACCCATGGGGTTGAAGCCAGTGGGAAAAGGGACTTCCCGATAGAGGCTGGGAGAGCTAGGGGCTGACTGAGCCCGCCAGTGTGGGAGCCAGATAGCTGCATCCTGATTATTGTAGAGCAAAATACAGCCAAAGGTCGCAGAACAGAAGCAGCAGCTGGCTGCGCCCAGTCACAGCCTGGGTGTTTATCACTCAGCGTGGCCAGAAATGCTTATTCAGATTTGGAAGAAGAGAACTTAGATTTAAGGTAGGCTGAGCATTTAAATAAAATAGAATATTGATTACCAGCTGCTGTGGGGTCGACTCTGACTTATGGCAACCCCGTGTTTGTTAGAGCAGAACTATGCTCCATAGGGTTTTCAGTGGCTGATTTTTCAGCAGTAGATTGCTAGGCCTTTCTTCTGAGGTGCTCCTGGGTGGACTTGAACTGCCAACCTTTTGGTTAGCAGCTGTACCACTAGGGACTCCAGAATATTGATATTCATTTGACAAATGAATTTTAAAACTCTGCTTAGTGCTCAGCACTTTTGGATAAATCGTTTTACAGGGGCGGTATGTTGGATGCTTCGTTTTCACAATGCCAATTTCATGCTATATAAATAGAGACTAAAAACCCCTGTCCATGTCTCTGAATGGAGAGAAGGGGCATTTCCATAGAAAGATTTCAAAACATTTGGAAGAACTTTTCATATTAAAAAGTATTACACAGTAATGAGCACAGCTGGTCACTCCAGTTTGAAATAGTAAAAACATTCTCATTTCCCATTGACCTATTCCATTTTTTGGAATGTCTAGAATTCCAGGTGAAAAAACTTCTCTTTTGTAAAAAAAAAAAAAAAACAATAAAAAGCAATGTATTGTGAGACATTAAGCATAATGTTCTACTCAGATATAGTTTTAATAAACAAAGATAAGGCCTGGAGGGAGGGTATAGGTTGGTAATAGAAATACTGTTACAGTGCTCATATAGACCTCATTGCTAAAATGGTGGTTAGATTTCCTTTGGTACCGAGTGAAAAAATGTGCATGGTGCCATCTTCTAGCATTGAGGAAAAGTTCATGCTTGGTGTGTGTCCTATCCTGATATGTATATACTGATACGTATATATATCCAGTTCATATTAAAAGTATCCCAATCCATATTGGAGCCCTGGTGGCACAATGATTAAGAGCTCGGCTGCTAACCAAACGGTTGGTAGTTCAAATCCACCAACCACTCCTTGGAAACCCTATGAGGCAATTCTACTCTGTCCTATAGGTAATCCATATTGGTAATCATACACAGTATATAGTAGCAAACACCAGTATTCTAATCCAACTAGGGTCACTAGAATCAGGAAAAAGAAAATATAATTGTTTAAGTCAATGTATATCGTGTTTGTTCTTCTACCTGTCTACAAGATTAACATGTAAAAATCAGCTTTAAAAATTCATGAAGTCAGGTCAGTGCGAGGGCATAGTGTTGTCTTGGTGAACTGTTAAAGCATCTGTGTTCCCCTCTGCTGGGCCCTGGAGGAGAATGGCTTCGCCAGAGCAAAAATAACATCATCAGAGATGCTGTTGACAGACTTGGGGGCACGATGGTGAAGGGCTGAGGAAATAGGATATCATGATAAGTAGGAAGAGGTTGGGGCAGAGAAATCCTCCTGTATACAAAAGTCAGCAATGCTGAGCTTATTTAGTCCTTAGTATTCAGTTTTGTCTGTTTATTCTGAAAGGGAATATAGGTATGTTCTAATTCTTTGTTTTTTGGACCTTTGCAATTGTGAGAAATTTCCAAAGTTTTGTGTAAAATATTTTTCAACTGTTTTCCATCATCGTCGAGTTGAGAGTCCTCCTTAGCTAAGAGTGCTTTCTGGAAGAGGGGGAAATGTGAGAGCAGAGGTGCGTGTAGGTCCCTAGGGTTAGGAGGAAGGTGAGGAAAGGTGTGTGTCCAGAAAGAGGTGGGTGGGGCAAAGGAGTTGAGAGGTCTCTGGGCTTAGCATCTCACTGCCATCGTGGTGGGAGGGCCTCCAGCAGCACCACAACCCTCAGCTCTGAGAAATCCATCCGCCATCACTGATATTAAGAGAAAGGACTGTTGGGACCCAGCATCTGTCCTCTCAGGCTATAGCTGGGAGCAGGGCATGTGGGAATCCAAGGAATGCCCTTTTCATTTCCTTTCTGACACCAACAAACTCCATCTGACATGCTAACTCTGTCCCTTTCCTTGACTGCATTGAGGGTGCTGGTAATCGTCACCCACATAAGGAAAGTTCACGCCAGTCTTAGGATATATTTCATGATCTGCTTCAGAAAGATTCCTTTCCCAAGAAGAGTCAGTGTTCTTGATTTCAATTTGTGGTTCTCAGCCTTACCTATACATCAGAATCACCTAGTGGGGTGCTTTAAAAATATTCCAATTTAACATACCAATGTATGTATGAGTTTTTGTATGAGAGGCTGACTTGAATTGTAAACTTTCACTTAAACTGCAACAATAAAAGAAAAAAAAAAAAAGTCCAAGTTAGTCCAAACCAGTTAAATCCGATTCTCTAGGAGTAGGGCTCAGGCTTTTTTTAAAAAAGGTTCACCAGGTGATTCAGGGTTGAAAATCGTTCCTTTAATCCTAGGCGGAATCCCAGCACTCCATGAGTGAGATCTGGGGATTTCCCTTAGGGACAGAAACACAAGAATGATTCAGAGTATATATTAGATCAGTCAGTTATTTCTGTCTTTTGAATAATTCTTTTCGTACATTTCCCTACAGATATGAACAGGACTTTTCCCGAGAATGTAAAATTCCGGAAAACTGCAGACCCCTGCTTACAAAAGACCCTGCACAATGTGTTGTTGGCATATGGGCGTCATAACCAAGGAGTGGGATATTGCCAGGTAAGCATAGCAGGTAGCCTGTAAACTAGCATGCAGCAGATGGACAGGTGGAAAGAATGGATACCTAACAAATTTACAACAGTGATATTCTCTAGGTATAAGTTAAATATTCTTTTTCAATCCAGTTCATAAACTCCCTAAGTTATAATGCCTTAAAAAAAATGACTATGGCTTTAAATATTTTCCAGCGAGAAAAGTAGCAAAACATCTGTTTAATGATAGTTTTTTGGTGTCAAGGTGATAGATAGGGTGAGGATGGAACATTGGGAAACAGATAGGAAGTAAATTAAGTGAATACAGTATTTATTTGTATATGAAGGTAGTCAGAACCGGAATTACCTTAGAGCAAATTGTGTGTGTGTGTGTGTGTGTGTGTGTTGTGGGGTGGGTGTGCTCCTTAGAGGTTACATTGTGGAAGTCAGATCTTCCATGAAATGAAAGATAAGGGGTGCAGTATGCTTCATTGCCTACCAATTTAATTCAGTCTTGTTTTTGATTTGCTGTATAAATTACCATGTGGGGTTGGAAAAAATCATTTCTTGTTAGTTTATGAAATGATCTCAGTTTGGTAGCATTCAAAGGGATACTTCTGTACTTAATAGAGACAACCAAGAAGAGCCTCTAATTAGGGACATCAGAAGTTAGACACGGTCTCTTTATGGGTGCATGTGCATTTGATGGGACGCTTCTGCTTGCCGCTGCCGTGTGAGTTCTCTGTGCTCCCTAGAGAGCAGAGGGGACCACCTGTGAGAGGGGGCAGCTGGTCTGCAGGGGCTTGCCAGCCCCAGCTCTGAGGATTCCGGGCAGGGTTCTGGGCTGCAGAAGGACTTGCCTCTGTGAATGTTTTAGGAGAGCACTCCCTGTCTATTGTCCAGAATGAAAGCAACAGATGATAACCTGTCACCATGGTTGCAAGCATCAAGCACACGACTGTCACGGGAATTGGAAAGCAGCTTTTCCTGCTTTTGAAGCCACATGCTTCACGTGATCTTGGAGGTGGCCAGCCTGTTTAAAGGTTTCATAAGAGGACAGTGAATGAAATCAATCCATAGTGACAGTTTAAATCTAACATTCATATGTGGATGATTGCTCCAGACTTATCATAAAGGCCAGGGAGCCAGAAGTACTTGGTACATTAAATAAAATTTGAATAAACTTTTGTGCGAAATTTGGGTTGCTTTGGCAACTTGAGTTCCTTCTGCAGCAGTGCTTGTCATCACTCTTTGGTGCGAGCAAAAGGAGGGGGTTCCGCTGACAAAGGAGGGAGAATGCAGGCAAGAAGTGAAGCAAATCGTTTTTGAAAAGACCAGCAGCAAAGAAATGTAATAGAGACTCTACTCATCACTGTACCTAAATAATTCATAAGGTTATATTTTTACATTGCTCTGTTACATGTAGGTGGTGTCTGCATAAGGATGAAGCAAGGATAGCTCCATTCTTCTCAGACAGAATTTCTGTTATTCTCAGGTTTTATTACTGTTAATTTATTATTCAGGAACAAAGAAGAAGTCATTAAATGTTTTACCGCTTTTCTCACTGGGAAATATTTAAAGCCATATCCTTTTTTTTTTTTTTTTTAAAGGCATGATGACTTAGGAAGTTTATGAATTGGGTTGGTAAGGTATAGGAGTTGGGAAGGCAGAATGGCCTAGAAGCTATGTTTAGATTATTTCACTTACTGTTCTTTTAGGTTTTAAAATAGCTTTTTTTAATTGTTGTAGAAATATATATAACACAGCATTTGCCAATTCAAGAGTAAAATAGCTTTATTTTTTTTAAACCCACACAATTTTAAATGTTAGCATAATTCCAAAAGCACTGCTGACTTTTGTTCAGATGCGTATGCAGAGGTGTATGTATGGCATCATAGTGTTCATGCTATTTTGTGTTTTGTGCTTTTTATCCTCAAGATGATTGCATATATGCATTTCCATGGTTCAACACAATCCACCCCCTTGTCATTGGTGATAGTGATGCCATTGCCATCTCCCAGCCCTAGGCAGCATCGTTTGCTCATTGGTGTCTGTTCTCAGTCATGGAGATCGTACCTATTTTTTGCCTTTCCAGTAGCAAAAACATGATTGTCTCTGTACAGATTGTTTTTGTTTCTTGAGTCACAGTCTTAGGATCTGTTCTTTTAAGTGGAATTGTAGGGTCAAAGTATATGAAAGGCTGTGTGTGTATGTGTATAGATGTTTGTGCTTTAGCTCTTGATTAACATTACCGATTGATTTCCAGATTAAAATAATTTATAGTAATGCCAGAAATGTGTGGGAACATTTGGTTTATGCAGCTTATTCTTCTAAATTTTGTATCATGGTAATTGATCTTGTTAGTTTACAAAAGCTAGGGTTTTTATTTCCTTTATTACTAGATAAATTTACATATTCATTTTAGAAAATACAGACAAACCAAAAAGGAAAAAAGTAAAAGTCACCTGAAATCCAGTCACCTACAGATGAATACTAACTCACTGTTGTAAAGCCCTCCAGTTGCTTTTTCCCCAGGTCTGGCTGCTTCTCTCTGAAGCCCTGGTGGCATAGTGGTTACGAGCTCGGCTGCTAACCAAAAGGTCAGCAGTTCATCCACCAGCCGCTCCTTAGAAACCCTATCGGGCAGTTCTACTCTGTCCTGTAGGGTCGCCATGAGTCAGAACCGACTCAACAGCACCTAACAACAACCTAAGAACAACAGCTGCTTCTCTAGACCTGTTGTAGAAGGACATCAAGGACATCGTGCACGAAGAAATCAGAAGGTCGTTAAAAAGACAGCAAAGAAAGAAAAGACCAAAATGCATGCCAGAAGAGACTCTGAAACTTGCTCTTGAACGGAGAGTAGCTAAAGCTACTGGAGGAAATTGTGAATTAAAAGAGCTGAACAGAAGATTTCAAAGGGTGGTCGAGAAGACAAAGTATTATAATGAAATGTGCGAAGACCTGGAGTTAGAAAACCGAAAGGGAAGAACACCCTCGACATTTCTCAAGCTGAGAAGAAAAAATTCAAACCTCAAGTTGCAATATGAAGGCTTCTATGGGCAAGATATTGAACGATTCAGGAAGTATCAAAAAAGATGAAAGGAATACACAGAGTCACTGTACCAAAAAGAACTGGTCGATATTCCACCATTCAGGAGGCAGCATATGATCAAGAAGCCCAAGCTACGCTGAAGGCATTGGTGATAAACAAGTCTCCAGGAATTGACAGAATACTAATTGAAATGTTTCAGCAAATGGATGCAGCACTGGAAGCACCCACTCGTCTTTGCCAAGAAATTTGGAAGACAGCTACCTGGCCAACCAACTGGAAGAGATCCATGTTTGTGCCCGTTTCAAAGAAAGGTGATACAGGAGACTGTGGCAATTATTGAACAATATTGTTAATATCACATGCAAGTAAAATTTCGCTGAAGATAATTCAAAAATGGTTGCAGCAATATACATCGACAGGAAACTGCCAAGCTGGATTCAGAAGAGGACATGGAATGAAGGATATCATTGCTGATGTCAGATAGATGTTGGCTGAAAGCAGAGAATACCAGAAAGATGTTTACCTGTGTTTTATTGACCATGCAAAGGCATTCAACTGTATGGATCATAACAAATTATGGATAACATTGCAAAGAATGGGAATGCCAGAATACCTAACTGTGCTCATGGGGAGCTTATACATAGACCAAGAGGCAGTCGTTCAACTAGAACAAGGGGATACTTTGTGGTTTAAAGTCAGGAGAGGTGTGCATCAGGGTTGTATCCTTTTGCTGTACATATTCAGTTTGTATGCTGAGCAAATAATCCAGGAAGCTGGACTGTATGAAGAAGAATGTGGCATCAGGATTGGAGGAAGACTCATTAACCTGCATTATGCAGATGACACTGTCTTGCTTGCTGAAAGTGAAGAGGACTTGAAGCACTTACTGATGAGGGTCTAAGACTATAGCCTTCAGTATGAATTACACCTCAACATAAAGAAAACAAAAATCCTCACAAGTGGACCAATAAGCAACATCATGATAAATGGAGAAAAGACTGAAGTTGTTAAGGATTTCATTTTACTTGAATCCACAATCAACACCCATGGAAGCAGCAGTCAGGAAATCAAAAGATGCATTGCATTGGGCAAGTCTGCTGCAAAAGACCTCTTTAAAGTGTTAAAAAGGAAAGATGTCACTTTGAGGGCTGAGGTGTGCCTAACCCAAGCCATGGTATTTTCAGTTGCCTCATACGCATGAGAAAGCTGGACAGTGAATAAAGAAGACCAGAGAAGAACTGATGCCTTTGAATTATGGTGTTTGTGAAGAATATTGAACGTACTGTGAACTTCCAGAACAAACAAATCTGTCTTGGAAGAAGTACAGCCAGAATGCTCCTGAGAAGTGAGAATGGTGAGAATTTATCTCATGTACTTTGGACATGTTATCAGGAGGGACCAGCCACTGGAGAAGGACATCATGCTTGGTAAAGCAGAGGGTCAGTGAAAAAGAAGAAGACTCTCAACAAGGTGGATTGACATAGTGGCTGTAACAATGGGCTCAGTCGTAGCAAAGATTGTGAGGATGGCACAGGACCAGGCAGTGTTTTCTCACAATGACTTGGAATTGACTCGACAGCACCTACCAGCAACAGCTGCTTCTCTCAATTAAGCTTTTCATATATTTAATGTTTTCTGGTAGCACCTGCCCTTTGGCAAGTATGTACCGTGAGTTTTCCAAAACAATCTCCATCACAAAATTCTCTCAGTATTTTCCATGTGTCAGATCATATTATTTATTGTTTTTTATTAAATATGGTCATTGGTATAGTTTCCCCTCTGATGAATATTTTCATTCTGTTAGCAGATATTAGATTACTTTTTTTAGAAACCAGTCGTAAGTTACTTTATCACAAGGTTACAAATAGTTGAAAAGTCGTTCATTTTAGTATTCTAAAGCAGTATTCAGAAGAGTTTCATTTAAATATTTCCCTTTTCTTTATTTTCATGTAGGCTTAAAACCATTACTAAATGGCAGATCCTTAGTATCTCTAAAGTTCTACTTAAAAAGAAATTCTAGAGTATGCAAGTTTTAGGGGTTGAGTAAAAGAAATTGGAGCTTAATAGTTAGCAGCCAAACCATGACAGAATCAAAACTCAATGTGAATTTCTGTTTCTCACTTTTCTAATTTCAGGGAATGAATTTTATAGCAGGATATCTGATTCTTATCACAAAGAATGAAGAAGAATCTTTTTGGCTATTAGATGCTCTTGTTGGCAGAATTTTACCTGGTAAGTTGGAAATTCTACTGTATGCCTTAACTGTTCTGTTCCTGGTGTTATTGAAATGATTCTGCTGACAAGTCAAGATTTAATTAAAACATAATTGAATTGTTTGGAAGTTGAAGTTAAAATCTTTTTGCAGTTGAGTGAAAGAAAAGAAAAATGTTTAGGTAGACTGACCCCAGCTAGAGCAGCTGGGCATTTCTGGATCCAGTGGAGTTTTTGTCTCTCTCCGTGTTAGAGCTTGAATGTGGCTCACACCATATGTTTGGCACATTTGTTACTCAGTCTGTGCCCGTTTGTATTGAGATTTGTAGTGGCACATGGCAATTCTGATTAAGAAATGTTTTACTCCAGATTATAAAATCTGCAAGAGGTTAACTTGGTTTCTGCAGTGTGATAGATTACTTTTGTGTGGCCTTCCTAGCCACGGTCTTGTAACTCCCACCCAGGTGATTGGGCAGGACTGTGCAGATAGGGTAACTGTGTCCCACCAAGGGGACTGGTCAGTTTTGCCATCCTGCTGGGGCTTGAAATAAGCCACCCCAGAGGTGGGAAAGAGAATCCCACTACCATCAAAGAAGAACAGGCCAGGAGCCAGCACATCCTTTGGACCTGGGATCCCTGCACTGAGTAGCTCCTAGAACCAGGAGGCAGAGAGAGAGAGAGCTCGAGAAGCAGTGGCAGACAAGCAGTAGTAGAGACCTGGAAGCAGTGACCCGGCAGCAGGAGACAGCGTGGTGGGCTTCGTGACCCATGGAGCGAGAAAGCTGAGTGCCTTTGGGCAGAGACAGAGGGCCAGGGAGAGGCATGCCCTCAAGCACGGCTGAGAAGAGGCTGTCCTGATGAAAGAACTGTATCCTTGAGTGTTCCTGAGTCTGAATTGTAACCTGTTTCTTCCCTAATAAACCCGATAATCATGAGTATGGTCTGTGAGTTCTTTGTGGCCATTGCAGTGAGTTATAGAACCCAGCAGAGAAGTAGAGAGTGCCGTGGGAGGGACAGTTGGTGTCAGAATTGGTAAAGATGGTGGAGAAAGGAGGCATGCCTGACCCCCAGCCTCACAGGACTCAGTCTTGGGCTATTGATCTTGATTCTCCTTCCCCCTTTTGAAGTTAGAGGAGGTCAGACACTGCCCCCACCCGTTTTTACAGTTTCTTATATATATTTGTTATTATGTTTGTGAATACTAGAAAGAGCGTACTGATTATCAGCTATTATTATTACTGTTTGAGAGAAAGTCATTCTTTTTGTGTATTTCTCCTTTTCTGTTTATTAATAAGTAAATTTACCACCAATTTTAGCAAAGCAAAATATAGAATATGAAGTATAATGTAAAATCACATGCAGAGCCAAAAGGTGAAAACAACCTAAATGCCCATCAACAGATGAATGGATAAACAAAATGTGGTACATATGTAAATGGAATACTACTCAGCCGGTAGAAGAAACAAAATCTTGATACATGCTACAATATGGATGGAGCTTGAAGACCTCATGCTGAGTGAAATAAGTCAGTCAGAGAAGAACGAATACTGTATGATCTCACTTATGTAAAAAGAGAAGAAACGGTCTCGGGACATCTAGGTCAATTGACATAACATAGTTCATAAAGAAAATGTTCTGCCTCCCACTTTGGTGAGTAGTGTCTGGGGTCTTAAAAGCTTGTGAGTGGCCATCTAAGATACATCTATTGGTCCCATCCCATACAGAGCAAAGGAGAATGAAGAAAACCAAAGGCACAAGGAAAATATTAGCCCAAAGGACTAATGGACCACATGAACCACAGCTTCCACCAGCCTGAGCCTAGAAGAACTAGATAGTGCCTGGCTACCACAACAAACCAACTACTCCAACAGGGATCACAATAGAGGGTTCCAGGCAGAGCGGGAAAAAATGTAGAACAAAATTCAAATTCACAAAAAAGACCAGACTTCCTAGTCTGAAAGAGACTAGAGGACCCCCTGAGATTATGGTCCCTGGACACCCTTCTAACTCAGAACTGAAGCCTTTCATAAAGTTCACCTTTCAGCCAAAGATGAGACAGACCTATAAAACAAACAATAACACATGTGAGGAACATGTTTCTTAGATCAATCAAGTATACGAGACCAAATGGGCAACACTTGCCCAAAAGCAAAGATAAAAATGCAGGAAGGGACAAGAAAACTGGATGAATGGAAATCGGGACCCTGGGGTGGAAAGGCGGAAAGTGCTGACACATTGTGGGGATTGCAACCAATGTCACGAAATGATTTGTGTATAAATTTTTGAATGACAAACTAAAAAAAAAAAAAAGAGAGACAAAGAAGATAAAGCATATAGAGAGAGACCAAAGTTTATCAGTGGTTACCAGTGGCAGGAGGGAGGGGAAAGGGGTGGTTAACAGTGATGAAAACAATGTATTGACTCCAAGGGTAGGGTCACACAGCTGATTATTATCATTGCTGTCAGTAAGTTGTACGCCTGTAAAGAAGTTGAACTGGCAAAAGTTGTGTGATAGATGTATTTACAATAATGACAAAAAAGAGAGAGAGAATAGCTGTTGAGGCTGATTATGTACAACCAAAAACCTCATGGGGAGAGGCGGGGCCAAGATGGTGGAGTAGTCAGACGCTTCCAGTGGACCCTCTTACAACAAAGACCACAAAAAACAAGTGAATCGATTATATATGACAATTTAGGAGCCCTGAACATACAAGGCAAAGTTGAGGAACTGGACTGAGTGGCAGGGGGGGGGGGAGATGGTTCAGAAGCAGCAAGGAGTTGCCAGACCTGACCCGGTGAGAGCCTGAGCCCTTCAAGCCTGATCAGCTCGGGAGTGAGCAGTGAGGCAGGCAAGCAGTTGTGCTCAAAAGGCGTATTCCGCTCCGGGAGAGACCCAGAAGCAGAGAGTCTACTCGGCCACCCAGAACCAGTGAGAAGCAGCCCTCGACCGGCGAAAGATAAGTAATTGAGTCCAGCCTACTGCATAATGAAAAACTCCCCCCTTAGGGAAAAACCTCTCTCCCATTTACCTCCTTGCTCCCTGCTCTGCACTGGGTCAACTGGCATTTTTTAATGAGATGGAGAAACAAATCACCAACTTCATATAGAAAGGGAAGAGGCTCCAAATAAGTAAAGCATTACTCAAGAAGAACAAAGTGGGAGGCCTCACACTACCTGATTTTAGAACCTATTATACCACCACGGTAGTCAAAACAGCCTGGTACTGGTACAACAACAGATACATAGACCAATGGAACAGAATTGAGAATCCAGACATAAATTCATCCACCTATGAGCAGCTGATATTTGACAAAGGCCCAGAGTCTGTTAATTGGGGAAAAGACAATCTCTTTAACAAATGGTGCTGGCATAACTGGATATCCATCTGCAAATAACTGGAACAAGACTCATACCTTACACCATGCACAAAAACTAACTAAAAACAGATCAGAGACTTAAATGTAAAATTGAAAACGATAAAGATCATGGAAGAAAAAATAGGGACAACACAAGGAGCCCTAATACTTGGCATAAACACAATACGAACCCTAAGTAACAGTGCACAAGCACCAGAAGAGAGACTAGATAACTGGGAGCTCCTAAAAATCAAACACTTATGCTCATCAAAAGACTTCACCGAAAGAGTAACAAGACAATCTACAGACTGGGAAAAAAATTTTGGCTGCGACAAATACAATCAGTGTCTGTTCTCTAAAATCTATGAGATACTGCAAAAACTTCATGGGATTTGCCTTGGTTTGGAGGTTTAGGGTAATGGTTTCATGGAACTTCCCAGTTAATTGGCTTAATAACGTGTTTAGTGCCTCTGTTCTACCTCCTAATTTGTTGGATAGTGCCTGGGGTCTGAAAAGCTTGCATGCATCCATCTAAGGGATGACAGTTGGTCTCTATTTGCCTGAAGCAACAGAGGAAGAAGGAGAGTCAGGAATAGGAGGAGGATATGGAATGCGTGGCTAACTGCCTCCATGAACAACTGCCTCCTTGGCCATGAGACCAGAAGAACTGGATGGTGCCCAGCTACCATTACTGAACATTTTGATCAAAAATTCTGTAGAAGAAGTCTGATAAAAAGGAGGAAATGTGGAACAGAATTATAAATTCTCATGGACTCCAGACTTTCTGGAACCAAGGGGGGCTGTGTGAACCCCTGAAACTATTGCTTTGAGATAATCTTTAAAACTTAAACAAAAAATATGCTCTGAAGTCTTAAAATCAAACAGTTTAGCTTAACTTGTAAAGAATGTCTGCCTTGAGCATTATGCTCTTTTAAGAGCTATCTATATGGGATCCAAGTGACAACAGCAACTCGAAAGATTGGATAGGAACCTTAGGGGATAGTGAGTTTATATTAATGGGGGAGGAACAGCTCGGAAAAGGAAGATGAGAATGGTTGCACAACTCGAAGAATGTAATCACTGTCACTGAATTGTATGTGTAGAAACAGTTGTATGTTTTGTTGTGTATATTCTCAGCAACAACAAAATAAAAATTTTTTAAAAAGACCACATTAGGGAGAAAATTAACCAGTGCCATCCTTGGGTGAGAGAGGACTTGTAAGTAAATACTATTTTCTGCCCTTTCCCAGCCAAGATTGTGATACTGCTTTAAATGAATGTCATGCTGGGCAATATGGGAAGGGCACTATGCAGCCTGCGAAGTGTTTTGAGAGAGAGTGGGAAGGTCCTTGATGACTGGTGGATGGGGAGGTTTCATGGTCTCCCCAAAGCAAGAATATGAACCCTAGGTCAGTTTTATTTTTATGCCTTCCTCCCATATCTCCGTCCTTCCTCCTCTCCCCTCCCTGAGTCAGAAAGCTGTGACCAGTAGCTCTAGATCCAGTTGTCACCCTAGTAAAAGTATCCTGGGCCTTCTCTAGAGATCTGACTCCTATCTCCAGGAAATTAGTATATAGTTAGAGATGAGAGAGCTGGATAGCTATAAAGCAAAAAACCAAATGCCATCGAGTCGATTCTAACTCATGGTGACCCTATAGGACAGAA